GGATGAGAACAACTTTTGGGAAAGAAAGGCTATGTGAAATTCAATGGAAACGTCAGCTCAACTCATGTCATTGTGGGAAAATTCTTCTTCTACCAATCCTCCATCACCTTAAACGAAATTGGGTGAATACATCTCATATTACTGATTTACTGGTAGTCACGAAAACAATACCATTTTCGAAAAATAAAACACATTTTGTGTTGCGTAGATCTTGTCTCCCAACTTGGTCGCAGCGTCAGCGGAGCCGTGTGGAACGTGTCCTCTGCCATAGGATTGGGGATATGCAGCTTCGGACCATTGACTTGCTACATCCCCAAACGTTTCGCCGACATCTTCATTGAGAGGTTTCAGCATCAGCAGAAAGTTACAATTTATCAAAGTGACAAGTGAAGACAATCCCTTGACCAATTTTCTGTTCAGCCGTTGTGGCATTTCTTTCTCTCAACCCCATTTCATGAGGCCCATCCACTTACTCACACAATTCTGTGCTCTCGTCTCATCCAATGTCGCCTAATGGTGTGTCTCTACCGGTGGGTTTATGGAAGCGTAATCATCTCAACAACCGGTACCTGATGCCGTTTGCAGAGCTCCTGAGCTCCTGAGCTTGTCAATTGGCCGCTGCTAAACATCAGTCACTGTTCGGCTGTCTAAGAGCCTTCAATTCCCGTCCTCGATTACGCCATTTTCGAGGATTTAGACCAGATGATGCCCAAGCACATGCCAGTGCCTGGGAATCTTGTTCTCTCTGAGCTTCAAATCCGGGACTCGTTTATCCTCTCCCTCATCCCCACCCAAATTGTGTCTCATTCTCTGGGGCCCTGTGTCCGACTTAGGTCATAGCCGCTGGTGTGGGAATGCACCACTTCCATTTTTCGAAAAGCACACTCCTCTCGTCTCTCTAGTGACACTACCATATAATCCAAGGCTACTGATATGAAGTCCCTGTGTGTGCTGGTTAGTATCCCCCGTGGTCAAGCTTGTCACCATTCCTCTCCCCTTCGGACACAGATACAAAAAGTGCACACAAATTTGTGACCTATATTTGGTCCACCTATACCTTTAGCCTTTAATATCATATCTTAAATCACACAGGTGAACCTTCTGGGCACATATTTGGCCAATTCCACGTCTGACTCCTCTCAGTGCAGTCGCCTTCTCTTGACTTCCCTTTTATTCCTCATCGGCTGCTTGATGATGTCTCTTTATGTTGTTGGATAGTTGTCCTGGTTACAATTGTCTTCTTTGTGAGGCCTTCGCTGACTCTTCCCTCTTCCAATCTCCTGTTAATCAGCTTTCTTTGAAATAGGATGTTCACAGTCTCTGTGATATTCCATTTCCTGGTGTTTTGCTCGCATGAGGCCAGTCTTTTCGTTGCATTCCAGTCAATTGTGTGGCCGGTAAGGGCGATGTGTTCAGCTATCTCCGAGCTTTCAGTATCCATTTTTCTGCATAGTCGCTGGTGTACTTTAACTCTTGTGCTGATTGTCCTTCCCGTCTGTCCGATGCATTTTGGTTCACAGTCCTTTCAGTTGATGCTGTAAACGCCGGAGCACTCTATTTTTCCGGAGCAAACTGGAGTGTGTGAGCAAACTGGTGAAGAGGGTTGTCCTTTCATTCAGGATTCTACGAATGTTCCACTTCCCAAGTGCTGACTTCAGCTTCCGAGCCAATTCGCAGGAGGGTGGACATATCCATCGTTTTTCCTCTGTTCCTTTCATAATCTGTGTCCTTCCATTTGTCCATCGCCATCCGTACGTTCAGGATATCAGTTACCAAGAGGCATCCCAATTCTTTTTCCCAAAACTCAGAATCAGTGACTCGCAAGCCTTCTAAGATCATACTCCGAAGTATTCCATTCTTCATTCCATAAGTATAGTTCGATTTGAAGTTAAGACTTATTTCAGAATGCGATTTCTTTCGGAAAAGTTATTTCTTGAGAGTCTCTTCGGGACGAATACTTCCGTTCTCTTCCACATCCATGGTGAATTTGACTTTTCATTCATTTCGTTTATACAGATCAGTAAATCTTCTAATTCTTCTCTTCCATGCGACCAAATAGCGAAGTAGTCATCCAAATATCGCATGATTACTGTTGGCTGCTGGGGTGGCATTTTTTAAATTCTGCTCCAACTTGTCCATTAGTCAACAGAGGTAAGAGTGTTGAGACCATAGACAGATCACATAGTTGCTCATATATTCGGCCGTTGAGCATGAAATAGTTCGTTCTCATTGTTAGGTTGATTATTTGGGTTCGGGACTCTACACATTCACTATGTCCGCGGGATGTCATTTTCTTTTTCGAGATCTCCAGTAGTGTGGTGAGTACTTTTTCTCCTGTCATGTTAATGTACATTGACTTTGCACCAAAGCTCACCAAAAGTTCGTTGCCTACTAACCTTGCGCCTTTGATTCTTTGGCAAAGTTCGTATGATCTGTTCACTATTCGATATTCTGTCATTCACTTTCTTTAATTGTAGGCAGATAAATTTCTCCAATTTATGTTTCGGTCCATGTTTGTTGTTGGCTATCAGTCTCAATGGTTCTCTTTCTTTGTGTACCTTCGTCATGCCGTATGTTGCTGAGGCTCATGCATCATTTCGTATGAGTGAATTTATTGTCCATTTGTCGATTTCCCCGTTCCCATTTATTTCCTTTAGCATTTGTGCAGTGCCCCCTTTATTTTAACTATTGGGTCTTTTGGTAGTAGTCGATACATTGTAGTAACCCCGAGAATATTTTCCATTTTTTCTGTATATTCCTGCCTGTCCATCACCACTGTGGCACCTTCCTCGGCTTGAAGGACTATTTGCTTGTTTCTGTTAAATTCTATATGTATCTTGGTTATATTGTCCCTATGCGTGGGTTCATGATGCGCCAATAGTATTGGGATTATTTCAATTTCCAGATCTTTTTTAATGTTCAGGTTGACTTTCACAGGTTTTTATCACCTTCACTAAAATGTCTTTGATTGCCTTCCTTTCATTCCGAAGTGCGAAATTTAGTCCCTTCTAGAGGATCTTCATTGTTGAGCTTATTCGAATGTGAGCGGAAGCGTTTGGTGATGAGATTCGAAGATGGATCCCACCACCAAACTATGGTGAGTTTCTCTTGACAAGCCATCGATTGGCTTTACTGGAACATTCTTGTTGACGCGGTTTAAGAGGCGATCTCTTTCGATTCCGGTGAAAGCTTGCCATGCTTTTATCCTTCGTATGATGGACATTAAAATAGCAGAATAACATTCTTACAAGCATAATCATGCCAACGAGTCAATTAAACGTATCGACTCATCCTTAAATGCTGTAGATATATCGAAAATGTAAGCTCTATGGTGAAGTATAAGGTGATTTGGTTAGTTCGAGTTATATTTCAGCCTGAAAGCAAAGATTATGTCTGTTCACCTATTTCATTCGATTCCTGCCACCACATCTGTCCTACTCGAGGCGTTATTCGCCCTTCCCTGCGTCTAGGCGACGCCGTCTCTATCCTGTTTCTATCCCTAATACCAAGTCTATGACTTGGTATGAACTAGTCTCTTGTGTGCCAACCCACAAATGTTGTGGTTCAACATTGAACACAATCAAAACAAGCTGTACCATGACAGTTGTGGGTTGGCAAACAAGAGACTAGGGCATGACAAGTCATAGACTTGGTATTAGGGATAGAAACAGGATAGAGACGGCGTCGCCTAGACGCAGGGAAGGGCG